TCTCAAAAAACCCCCCCCCCCCCCGCAAAAAACAACAAAAAAAAAAACAACTGCTAATACTGACCCTTGTAAGAACTTTGAAAGTATTAACACCATCATCTACTGCCCGCTCTATATCATCCATCAGATTGTCTGTAGAGCCTCGAAGCACTATAGTAGAAATGGCACCGTCGTCTTTTTCTGCCAATAAATGTATTTGTGGATTAAATAAAAGAAAACACACCCCAGAACTATATAAAGTACATCTTACCATTAGCACATACCATGCTTAAAAACTATCACTTGTGTGTCTCCAACTTCTGAGAGGTAAACACTGTCACAATGTCCCATTTCTTCGAGGACAGGAGGAGTCTATAAGAAAGTAACTGTTACAGTATAAGTTCAAATATAGTCACTTTTATGTTTTATATTTTCCAAAATACATACCAATCGAGGAAGAGCTGTAGCACCAACTGTTTTACACAGTCTTCTGAGATCCCACTTTGAATTCAGCCTTCAGAAAAAAAAGAAAAGACCTTAATAGAAATGTTGATTCCATTATACAGCATATAAAATGCAGAAATTAAATAACAAACTAAGGTGGGCATGGTGGCCTAGTCCTTTAATCCCAGCACTAGGGAGGCAGAGGCAGGTGTTCTCTGAGTTCTAGGCCAGTCAGGGCTACACAGAACTTGTCCAAACAAAACAAAATCCCTAAACACCACCAGTGAGTAATATTCTTCTGACCCTATTCAAGCTGAAGAGCACATCTGCATTGCACTGGATAAGGAGGCCAAGAAGCTGGTTCTTGACCTGTGCATGTACCAACTAGCAGGCAATGCCTTGTTTGCAGTGTTTGTGCCATTATTACAGAAGTGATAGGTGCAATCATATCAGGATGTCAGGCTCTTCCCTCTTAACACTGTTCCTTTTGCCAGGATGCTTGACTCCCTTACCCTGTTCAAATAGCACCCACACCTTGGTTCTTTACCTCTCCGAGTATAAACAAGATTTCTCAGAGGCACGTCTTATCTCTCTAGGCTACATCCTTTTGCTACATGACCTAAGACCTTCATGTTCCCTTTATTAATTTGTTGTATTTGCTTAGGGTTCCATTCTAAAAACAATGTATAGTACCAGTTACCGAATATAGCTCTCTTACCTCACCAACATGATATTGTATTTGTTTGCATAATGAAGAGCCATGTCTGCTACTTTGCCACCTGTTACTATGACATTTGCACCAGTGCCAGCAATAGCTTTGACTTGTGCATCCATGAGATTTTCTTCTCCCTTACTAAAATTCATCAGTTCTTCAGCAGTCTTTATCAGCACCGTTCCCTGACAAAACAAGCAAGCAATCACTCCCCTTAAAACCATTTCACTATTTTGATGTTGAAAGTTGTAAGACACTGTTTTACTCAATTTATACATTTGGGAGAAAAGGTGCACATTAAGATGCTTATTAAGCAGAAAACAAAGTATGTAAGACGTTAATACCCTCACCTTGTTCCTACATCCCTTGACCTCTCCCAAAATGCATTTGCAACTCTGATAGAATATTGAAAAAATACTGTTCCTTTAGACATACCAGGCAGCTATCCTGATATTTGCCTTTCCCCATCTCAGATATCAAATAGTGTCACCAAAACAACTTATTCTCACTTTCCCTAAAATGTGGACTAAGCAGCCATTCCTTTCCCCTCAATCCTGCAAAATCAAAGAATCAGAATATGTCAAGAATGTTTGGCTATGACTGAATTTAAAACCTTTTAAAGACAAACATCATTTTCAAAAAAGGTGCAACAAGATGTCAATACTTGTATTTTCATGAAGAACACACTAAGTGCTCTTATTATTAAAGATGCTGAAATTTAAGACTATATGTTAGAATACAAACAATACTGCCACCAAGCAATGTTTCAATCTAGTAGCTGAAGTACATATGAATGGTCTGAAAAAATATCTACAATTGTACAGTTTTCAGTAATTATGAAGTACTCATTGGCTTATGAGCAAAAAGTAACTCAAATGATTATTGTTAAGCTTCCAAGTCCACGTACCTTAGTTTCTGTAATCATGCCATCAAATGGACAAGAATACACTGCTATCTTTGCATCTTTGACAGATGTCACATCACCTTCGGTTTCCTTCTTAAAGACCATGCCATGCAATACTGAAGATGAATGGATACCAGAGCCCTAAGGAGTTTAAACACCGACACTATCATTAGGACTAAATTCTAATCTAAAGTAATATACCAAGGCAAAGACTTAGGTATACAGGAACAGATGGCAGGCATAAAACATTATTCTCAAGGTAGGAAAGAGCCACTTTAAGGAAGGCCCTTCAGTGTCCTAAGAACACCAAAGGTAGAGAAATGAGCCACTTACCAAGTACTTGGTACCAATACACTAGGCACAACTGTCAGTACTAGAGATAGCATAGAAAATAAAGCCAAGATTCTGCTGTCAAAAACTTGCAATATAATGGGGAAGGCAGGCAGTAAGTATATGGGGATAGAAAATACTCAGACCATTTGTACAAATGGATCTAGAATCCAACTACACTAATAATATCTCAATGTGGAAAAGCAGTCCAATGTATGTGCTATTTATATAAATCACATAAAAATGTTACCAAAACCATGCTTCAGTATATTTCAGTATTAACGCTGCAATATAAAGCTTACTATAGAGAATAGGACAACTGTCCCATTTAGAGCTGGTTACTAAATGTTAGGAGTCAGCATCTATGAAAAATGGAAGTCAATTAGTATTTATTTTTATCCTAATCTGTACGAAATCAGGGGAAAATGATTTCACAATAATGTCAATATACCTTTAATCTGATAGGCAGTAGTATTATAATTTATTAATACCAAAATGTTGACCTACGTGGACAATGGTAGTGCATTTTTGAAACTTACCAGAATCTTACATACTCTGATGTTATCAACATTGAAATTGCCGGAATCAGGAAAAATAGATACTGTCAAGAAAATTAAACTTATCAAAATGTACTTTGAGACAGCAAAGAAAATATATTATATTTTATATCTTTTCATTGACTGATATTTACTTACCACATGCCTGAGCAATAAGCTTGGCCAGAAATGCTTCATTACCATACTGCTTACTCATTATGGAGGTACGAAGCAGCGATGACACCTCATCCACATCTCGAAGGTTTTTTGCAGAACAGCATACCAAATCAGGAAGAATCTCATGGGCTTTTTTGCAGGCTATTTCATAACCTTCTATTACCTAAAATGTAAGGAAAATTTCTTTAAAAGACATAATAAGGACATGACTTATTCTGGTACCCCAATAAATAGGGGTTATTTCAACATAAAATGACAAAGGTACACTTTCTCAGAATAAGACAATGGCAGGGCCCCCTAGCTTGTGAGTATAGGCTTTGGCAATAACAAATTTGAGTATCAATTCTACTACATACTAGTTATAGTATCTTGAGCAAAAATTTTCTATTTCGAATCTCCCTTTGTTCATCTGAAATAGAATGAGTTTAAAAAGCCTTATCAGTAGGATCTTCTGAGGACAAAATAGTTCCATATGTGAAACATATGCGGTCCCTAAAACTGTAGGCTACTCAAGTGTCAGCTATCACTTTGCTGCCGGATTTTAAGTTTATTTAAAAATTAGTTACTCATTTGTATTTGTATATGGGTGTGCGTGTATGTATGCGTGCATAAGCATGGTCTGTAAGTGGTGAATGCTGACCTGTGTATCCAGGTATGTATGTACATGACCATGCATGAAGGCCAGAGGAGGCGCCCCGCTCTATCATTCTCTGCCTTATTTCCCTGAGATAGGATCTCTTGATCCTGAGCTAGACTGGTGGCCAGGAAGCCCCAGTGATCTGTCTTCATGCCTCCCGCCCCACAGCACAGGGTTACAGGTACACACAACCACCATACAGGTTCTGGAGATCCAAACTCAGGTCCTCCTGTTTGCACAGCACTGCTCTTACCCACTGAGCCATCTTCCAGTTCCAGACTTAAGTTTTAAACAAGCAAAGTACATGCAATTACAGAGGATTAAAGTATAAGATAAACACTTGCCTCTGATACTGACAAGCCAATCCTGAGAAGTTCTTCAGCTAGTTCTAGAAGAGCTCCAGCAAATACCAGAACGAAATTTGTGCCATCTCCAACCTCCTGCTCTTGCATATGAGAGGCCATCACAATCATTTTTGCAGCAGGATGCTGCACCTGATATAAAAGGAATACCAAGAGAAAACATTCTTTTGCTTAGAGCAACAAAGTCAAGTCATTCATTACCATTTCTTAACATTCCCTGTGAGGTAGGTAAACTCCACCTATTTACTGGCTTCAAGTCCACTGAAAGCTTAGCACAAATACATCAATACAAAAGAAAATTTCAAAACACACCTTCTCTGTTACCCACCTTTTACACACAGCTCCATAAGGCTTAGCACATACCCAAATCATTTCCAACCACTCAACTTAGATACTAAAAAAAAGTCTTTATAGCCAGGCATGGTGGCTCAGACCTTGAATCCCAGCACTTGGGAGGCAGAGACAGATCTGTGAGTTTGAGGCCAGCCTGGTCTACATAGCAAATTCCAGGTCAGCTGGGGCTACAGGGAGGTCCTATTTCAAAAGACAAGCCCCAGTGATCTGTCTTCATGCCTCCCGCCCCACAGCACAGGGTTACAGGTACACACAACCACCATACAGGTTCTGGAGATCCAAACTCAGGTCCTCCTGTTTGCACAGCACTGCTCTTACCCACTGAGCCATCTTCCAGTTCCAGACTTAAGTTTTAAACAAGCAAAGTACATGCAATTACAGAGGATTAAAGTATAAGATAAACACTTGCCTCTGATACTGACAAGCCAATCCTGAGAAGTTCTTCAGCTAGTTCTAGAAGAGCTCCAGCAAATACCAGAACGAAATTTGTGCCATCTCCAACCTCCTGCTCTTGCATATGAGAGGCCATCACAATCATTTTTGCAGCAGGATGCTGCACCTGATATAAAAGGAATACCAAGAGAAAACATTCTTTTGCTTAGAGCAACAAAGTCAAGTCATTCATTACCATTTCTTAACATTCCCTGTGAGGTAGGTAAACTCCACCTGATCAGTTACACCTATTTACTGGCTTCAAGTCCACTGAAAGCTTAGCACAAATACATCAATACAAAAGAAAATTTCAAAACACACCTTCTCTGTTACCCACCTTTTACACACAGCTCCATAAGGCTTAGCACATACCCAAATCATTTCCAACCACTCAACTTAGATACTAAAAAAAAGTCTTTATAGCCAGGCATGGTGGCTCAGACCTTGAATCCCAGCACTTGGGAGGCAGAGACAGATCTGTGAGTTTGAGGCCAGCCTGGTCTACATAGCAAATTCCAGGTCAGCTGGGGCTACAGGGAGGTCCTATTTCAAAAGACCAAAAAAAAAAAAGTTTTTATAAGAACTAAAATAAGTCAGGCGATGTGGCTCATGCCTTTAATTCCACCAAAGACTGAAGGATCTTTGTGAGAAATGAGGACCAGTTTGGTCTACATAGATTTGTTCCAGGCCAGTTGGGGCTTCAGGGAGACCCCCATCTCAAAAAATAAAAGACACCCTCAACTCAGTTAAGTGTCTCAGTATTATTAACTTTCTACATGTTCTTGTAGAAGTTATCACTTGTGGGTTAAAAAAAAAAAAAATGAGAATGCATAATTTCCCAGACTAGCCTCAAACTCCCTATGTAGTTACTAAGGATGATCATCAACTTCTGATCCTTTTGCCTCCATCTCCAAAGTGCTGGCATTACCAGGGTTCACCACCACACTCAGTTGATGCAGTGTTTGGGAACTGAACCCAAGGCATTGCACATACTAGGCAAGTACTCTTCTAACTGAACTGGATCATCAGGTCTGAAAGTAAATTTTTTGTTTGAGACAGGCTCTCCCTCTAGGCCCCAGGAGTTTCAGGCCAGCTGGGGTACAGGGAGACCTGGTCTTAAAAAGATGAAAAAACAAATCAAATCAAGCACCAGTATTTACCAGCTGTTTTCATATTATAGGAAAATTCATATTAGTGTCACTCTATAGAATAACCAATTCCATTTATTACCAGCAAATACATTTTATGAATAGTCAAAATGATAAATTCTAAAAAGGCTCTTTATAAATCTGCATAATAAATTCACAAGGAAGAGCAAAATAGCTCTTTGATACCTAATTTGAAATAAGATTTAACCTATGTTAAAACAGTGTTTCTTGATGGCTTTGGAAAAAAAAAACAAAACTTACTTCTAGCTCTCTTAAAATAGTTGCTGCATCATTTGTCACGAACAACTTCTCTACATGATTGATAACCATTTTATTCATGCCTCAAAAATAGAAAAAGAATTTATTATTATTCACCTATTTCCCCAAATAACCCAGGAAAATCTAGTCAGGTATAAACTTGTACTTATTTCTTAAAATAATGCTGTAAATACTCTACACACTACCTGATCTATCTCCCAGCCCCATGAGCTTTCTGACTGAACATCCCTAATGCTTTCCTTTTCACCTCCTGTAATAGATATCTACTTGGGACATAAAATAATATCGAATCTAATATTTCTATGTTATTTGCAACATACTTAGCATACAGCAAGTGCTCGTAATGAGAAATTAACATATAAAATAATGTACTTAAAAATATTCAGTTTTATGTTTATTCCCTAAGTTTGTACTTGAATTCAACTGGTGGCTGAAGATAAGAGGATAAAAGAAAGTTTTCCCTTAAAATGTTAGTTTTAAAAAACTTCTCAGGGTCTAGAGCGATGGTTCAGCGGTTAAGTGCACTGGCCCCTCTTGCAGAGGGGTTTGGTTTCCAGCACCCACATGGTGGCTAACAACTGTCAGTGACTCCAGTTCCACGGGACTGTATGACAGGAGTGCACTTACATACTCACAGGCAAAACAGTCATACACATAAAATTAAAATAATAAATAAAAATAAACTCATATTTTTGCTATAATGAACACTGGGTTATGTGAACAGTGCCAACACTATCATCTTTCTATCTCAAGATAGAGTACATCTTTAATTTTTCTAGAGAGATGAACTGCTGGTTAAAAGTTAGAAACACACTGGTACCACTGAACTATGAAATAATCTGCAGAAGTACACTGTAAATCTAATACCCGCAGAACATGTCTGAAAGGACAGCTAACACAAAATCATGTTACCAGACTTTTTTAAAGCTTGATTTTGGCCATTACCATTTGGTCCATACGCCGTTCGAGTGGTTTGGGCAAGCTCCTTGCAAGCTTGTATGTTTCTATACACAGCTTCTTCTAATCCTGAAAAATGCTGCAAAACAAAACTGCTTAAATAGGAAAATGAAATAATTTCTTAACACAAGACCCTCTCTGCTTTTTATGCTTCTCAAAGACAGGAACACTTACAGATTTATTCAGAACACGAAGCCTAAAATCTGACTCGCTTACGGTTGTCTTAGGTTTCCAACTAACTCACAGGATCCTGGGTATTTTTCTTCCATTTGTAAAATAATGGGGTACTTAACAGTACCTACTTACAGATTCCTTCCTTCCACTCTCTCCTTCCCCATCCAGGGACCCAGACCAGAGGACTCTTACTAGAAAACCAATCTAAGCTACGTGACAGGGCCTTGTCAGTATTGGCTTTTTATCATTTGAAATGTCCCCTAGAGGACTATAAACCCTGAGAGGTGGGCCTTAAAAATTGCCTTCACTGCACTTCCCTCAAGACCTATTTCCTGAAGCATCTCAGTGACAACTACTACCATCCAAACGACAAATACTCGGACACATCACTTTCTAAACACAAGTGACATGGGGAAAAGACGTAGATTGGAAGCTATGACTGGCCTTTCTTGGAGGTGGGGGGACTATATCAGTAACCGTTTTCCAGAACTCACCAACTTACATAAAACTCTGACATTTATGTAGGATGCTCAAGTTATCTCCAGAGTGCATCCTATAAACAAGAGTCCTCTATTTCCCTAACATTTTAAATTCAATGCAATAATCTATTTCCTCACGCTCAGGAAATCTGGGAGACAAGAACCGTCACTTGGCAGCTTGAACATCCCCAATCCAACTGCTCCGTATGCAGAGCAAATATCCTTAAAGATTCATACTTGGCAAATTATTGTCACGAGGCCAAACTAGTTTGATTTGGTCCAGGGTGCTGCTTCTCCCGTGGTCTTTTACGAAGCTCGATACTGAATACCCAAAGATTAGGAATCTTTTCCCCCAACCTGCTCCGCACATCCTAAGTCAAACAAGGTCCCAGGTGGGCCAGCATCCACAGCCAGGCCCGGCCAACGGGCCGGGGGCCCTGCTGCCCGGTCTCTTCCCAGCCCAGCCCTCGGACGCCGGCAGCGATCACCGTCGTGCCCCGCACACCAGTGAGGACGGGAGGAGTCCCGGGAGTACTCCGGGAGGACGCCCGGGGAGCACTATGGTCCACCGCTCTCGGCCACGGCGCGAGAAACCAAGCCGCAGCCCCGGCCTCTCGGTTCAACCCCGAAACAACTCAATTGCCCGGGGTTCGGCGCGGCCTCGCAGCACCCCTCCCTTTCTGGAAGCTTCTCTCCCCCGGGCCCTGTGCCGTGGCACGCACGGCCGTAAGCGCCGTCTCCGGCTTCACCCTCTGGACCCCTTACTTTTGCTCCATCTTTGAGCATCTGGGCAAACCCCGGGGCCTTGGGAACGTGAAGCGCCATGGTCGGATACGAAAAGCCGCTCACGCGCTCGCTCGTAAGGCCCGGAGGAAGCAAGGCGCACGCAAAGCCTGCTGGGAACACGGCAGCAGCGCCTCACGCTCCTCAACTTCCGGTCGTTCCACCCCTACTCCGACCAGGTCTACTGAAGTATCGCGAGAACAAGAGTGGCGAGACCAAGAGCTGCTCTTGCAGTCAGAGCCAACCTGTCAATCCCGAGCTGGTCGAACGGCAGGCAGGAGGACCGCCGAGCCGGGGCAGGCGATCTGTTTTCCGGAGCCCCAGGCTGTGGCGGCTTGCTTTCGGCTGTTTTTGCTGACCAAGCTCAGAGGTCTGCACGTCTGGTTTGTGACATTTCTCAGCCCGACACTCCACTTTGTAACCTTCATTTGTAGTAAATATTGCAGACCCAGCCACCTGCGCCGCGGCAGGTGAGCCTGTTGAAGAAGTGCACCTACCCTCATCCCTGCAATCCATTCGTGGGCATCTTGTGTGTGTTGGGCACAATAGGAAACCCTGAAGTCTTGAGGGTGCTGATTAAAGTATTAACACGGTTCATGTTGAGTGCCCATAGGTGCCAGATCCTGTGTGGTGTGCTTCAGTGTAGTTATTTTTGCTGCTGGCGAAGCCTACAAATTAATTTTATCTCCATACTGTGGAAGGGGAGTTGAATTTCACAAATGGTAAAATGATATACCAGAAGTCACAAAGTAAGGGTTCCTACTCAGGCTGACTGCAAAGTGTTCTTTGCATAGAACGTACTTCAACGTTCTATGTTGTCCTCTTTCCTATTTTCTAGAAAAATAAATTCCGTCTCTCCTGGAACTTTCCCCACATCTGACTGCAATGTCTTTCCAAATCGACATGTAGTTGATGTAAGAAAAGGTTATTTTCACAGTGAAAGTAATACATTACTCTTAGAAAATCCACTCCACTGTCCTTATAGAAAACATTAAACTACGTTTTGATGGCTCCTTTGACTTGGACATGCATAAATTAACTTTTTCTTTCAATATTTTTGAATTTTTTATTTATTATTTTTATTTTACGTGTATGAATGTTATGCCTGCATGTAGGTAAGTGCACCCGTGTTCTGCAATGCCCACGGAGGACAGAAGATGCTGTCCGATCCCCTGGAACTAGAGTTATGGATAGTTGTTAGCTGCCATGTGGGTTCAACCAGGGTCTTCTGCAAGAACAGTCAGTGTTCTTAACCACTGAGCCATCTCTCCAGCCCCATGAATTAACTTTTTCTTTACATTGGGACAGATTCATTGTGCCCTTAAAATAATTTCAAGTGTATTACCAATGACAATTTTTTTCTAATAAGCATTTAAAATAGGAAAATACTATGAAATTATAAACAAATAATTCTGAAAATAATAATTTCATGCTGTACATGAAATGAGTTGTGTCTTGTGATTGGCTGGTTCCTCCAATGGGCTGGGCCCGATAGGGAGCATGTACTAGGAAGGGGAGCAGGGGTAGCCACGTGTGGTGTGGGGAAGGCAAAGCCAGGCAGAGCCATGTAGCAACTCAAAGACAGAATGGACTGACTCCTATGGACCTGGGGCGAGATTGCTGGCCCCTGAGGTGTGAGTGAGTTAGCTGGGGACTATGTTAGCTGGAAACTCACATAAAACATATTATATGGTTTGTCTGATCGTACAGGAGACCCAGAGGGAATTCTGGCCCTAGGTTGGAAAACATTGCACCAAATCAGTGGTTCTCAGAGTTTGGTTTAGACACCTCTGAGGACGTCAGATTCTTTAAGGGTACATCAGGGAAAGAGTAGTTTCATAATAATATAGAGAATAATATAGAAGTATTTCCTATCATTCTTTCTGTGGGGAGTGTTTTTTTTTTGTTGTTGTTGTTGTTTTGTTTTTTCTTTTTTGAGACTGGGTTTCCCTGATGCCCCAGCTGGCCTGGAACTCACAATGTAGATCAGGTTGGCCTTGAACCCTCAAAGATCTGCCTGCCTCTGTCTCCCATGCTGGGATGAAAGGGGTACCACCATGCCTGGCCTTTTGTAGAGAGTTGTAAAGCCATAGGTGGTGTGTGATAGTTCATCATATGAATGTGAAAAATGAGAGGAGCCAGCTGTTTTCTATTAGGTCAGACATAATATTTTTACCAAAAAATGTGAATGCTGCTCTTCTTTGTTTTGAAAAAATATTTTATTTTTATTTATTTATTTTTAAAATTTTTTATTATTTTTATTTTATGTGTATGGGTGTATTGCCTGTATGTAGGTTAAGTGTACCTGTGTTGTGCACAGACCGCGGAGGTCAGAGAGGCTGTCAGATCCCCTGGAACTGGATTTATGGACAGTTGTTAGCCACCATGTGGTTCCTGAGATTTGAACCTGGGTCTTCTGCAAGAATAGTCAGTGTTCTTAACCACTGAGCCATCTCTCTAGCCCGAAAAATTGTTATTTTAATAATGTGTTAGCATCCAATGTTTACTGCTATTTTAAAATTAATTTTAGAAAAAAATTGTCAGATCGAGAATATAACTACTGTCCATAGCTATGATACATGGAACCAAAAGATCATTGAAGATCTCAGTATTTTTATACATATTAGGGATTCTGAAACTGCAAAGTAGATGAGACGTGAACAGTACAATGACCCAAAATTAGCTAAAAAAAACCCCTCACACTTCTATCTCAGAGAACATTATTTGTGAGCACATGGAATAAAAGTAAAAGGGGATTAAAATGATACTTTATTAATTAAAAGTAACTATGGGGCATGGGCTCTTGGAAAAATTTATAACAAGACTGAAAAACTAAACCAGTACAAAATGATTAATTTTCATTAAAAGTTAATAATTAAAATTGACCCTGCATTAATTATAATCAAGAAATGAGAAGAATTACAGTTTAAATCTTCTCTGTTATTTTGTCAAGGAATTAGATTTTAATTGTTAAGAACACCTTTTAAATGAAGATTCATTAATTTTGTATAATTTGAGTTAAAGTACATTTATAACTGGGGAGTCAAACTATCAAGGGCAAAATTTGTACTGGATTTAAATAGAATATGCCAGGGATGGAGGGATGGCTCAGCTGTTAAGAGCACTGATGGCTCTTGCAGAGGACCCAGGTTCAATTCCCAGCACCCACATGGTGACTAACAACTGTCCATAACTCCAGTTTCTGGGGATCTGACACCCTCTTTTGACCTCTGTGGGCATTACACACAGATGGTACACTTACCTACATGCAGGCACTCAGACACATAACTTAAAAAAAAAAATAGAATATGCTTCATCCAAAAAAGAAAGCAAACACAAATCCTTAATGCGACCCCCAGCCCAGGTTCTAGACCCAACTGTCACACAGTACCTTTTCCTCCTTGGCTTCATTCTCTTGAGATTTTACTCTACCCAATGTCCAGCTGCACGTCTGTCAGTGTAGCACTACCTTCTGGTTCTTTATTGTTTTCTAGCCACAGCAGCCAAAAGAGTTCACAGTGTTCTTCACTCCTGTTTCATTCTCTCAATGGAGAGTTTTCTGGCGGCATCCATGACATCACAGCAGTTTGTATGTAAGGCACCAGAAGCCAGTCATCCCTGCTGCCCTCTTCACCTAGAATGTTCTTCCATTTCCTTTGGCTGAGTAAATTCCATGTAAGCACAAAACATTTTCTCAGCAAAGCCTTTGATTATTGTCAAGACATTCTGGTTTCTCATTCCAGTGACTTCTGTGTCCCATCACACTTAGCACAACTGCAATGATAAAACTATTTGTAATCTTTTCCAACCAGAAGGTAGGTGCTACAGTGACAGAACCTGCAACTGGACATTGTGTAGAGTAACATCTCAAGAAATAGTTCTCAGATGGACAACTGAACAACCAAATGGAGACCCAAAGAGAAAGTCAAAGAATTGGGATTGCTAAGAGTCCATATGGTAATATCCTCCCAATGTTCATATGTTGAAATCTTAACCATCAATGGGGTGAAGCCTTTTGCTAGGTAATTCACTCATGAGCGAAAACACTTTTTTTTTTTTTTTTGGTCTTTTTGAGACAGGGTCTCCCTGTAGCCCCAGCTGGCCTGGAACTCACTATGTAGACCAGGCTGGTCTTGAACTGAGAGATCTGCCTGCCTCTGCCTCTCAAGCGCTGGGATTAAAGGTGTGTGCCACTACGTTGGACTGAGGGAAAACACTTTTGAGTGGATTGGTACCCTCATACACTCAAAGAAGCTTTTCTGTCCCATGTGATGATGCAGCTAGGTGGCATATCTATGAATCAGGAAGTGGGCTTGAGAGCCTCTGCTTACACTTTGATCTTGGATTTCCCAGCTCTAAGAACTGAGGACAGAATTTCTGCTGTTTGTAAGCTACCCAATCCAATATTTCCTCACCCCGCACCCCAAGTTTGGTATTTTGCTATAGCAGACTAATACAAGGGAAGGTGTGGACTCTACTTTCCCATACAGTCATTGATACAATTAAACCAGAGGAAAAACAAACCAAGAAGACTTGCCTACTTCATAAAAGGCCAAGGAAATCACAGGTTTCTGCTATTTTGATTCAAGAGTCTTGGGGCTGAAGAGATGGCTCAGCAGTTAAGAGTACTGGCTCTTTTTGCAGAGGACTGAGTTCAAATCCTAGCACCCACATGGCAGCTAATGGGATCTGACATCCTTTTCTGACCTCCTTGGGCACTGTATAACATGGGTGTACTTACACACATGTAGGCATAACACTCATAACACATAAAATAAAAATAAATCCAAAAAAAAGAATCTAGGACTGTTAAGTTCTTGACAACTGAAAATATAGCCTCCAGCCTCCAGGAGCAAACTAAGGGTCTTGGGGATTGGGGATATTGGTCTTGTCTGCTCCCCGCTCAAGAGGAATTCCATTATGGGAACTGGGTATGTGTAAGCCAACTCAAGATCTGTAAGAACCTGTAAATTCAACATTTGTTTACTTTTTTTAAAACCTTAAAGTTTATTTTTAAAAATTAATTATAATTTTAATATTCTCTCTCAGTTATGGACTGAATTGTGTCCCACTCAAAAATACTCATATGTTGGGCTAACTCAATGGGTAAAAGCGCTTGCTTTCCTATACAACATAGTGG